TGTTTAAAACTTTCTTTAAATCGATCTGGATCTTTTATTTCACTTGATATACCAATCATTGGTGATAAACGAAAATCTGAAAGAATCTGTTGGAGATTTTTGACGATGTCTTGATGAACTTCTTGAACATTATGACAATCATGTTTTTCAACAGTTTCAATAGCATTATCAACACAATTAAAAATAATTTTTTCTAATAAATGTATTTGATTTGTAACAATTGTTTCTTTACGTACTTGTATTTTATTTAATGCTAATTCTAAATAATAACGATTTATATCAATGATATATTTCATTATATTATTTGCATCTGGTGGATTTGAACCAATACTATCATTATAAGCATTCGTTGCAATCTTATTAGAATCAATTTCACTATTGTTAGTTATTATTGTATGCACCTCACTAATAATAACTCTCATATAAATTCTTTTTATTTCTTCAACAATTTGCTTTTGTAGATCAGTTTTAAATCTCTGACCTTGTTCGAATGAATCTTTACTTGATAGAAATTGTTCTTGTATACTTATTTTCCATTCTTTTAGTTGATTTAATGTTTGTTTTGATTCTTCATGTTTACGATCAGCTATTTGTTTAGCTTGATCAATTAAATATCTTAATGCAATACGTATAAGATCTGCGGTTATTTGTGGAATATTTAGGTAATTCCAATATTTCTGTATTGGAGATCTTTGTGTTTTAATAGAATCATCGACATATTGAATTAAACTTGATATTAATTCTGGATCATTATAGGATAATTTTATTGTTGATAGCATTGTGTTAATATTGTTATTGAATTGTGGTATAACACCTTCTGCTATACTTACAAATATTTCTTTTTTATGTTCATCACCACGAACACAATGATTAAACCAGCCCAGATGTTCATTCAACGTTTTCCATGAACTGGTACCAAGAAGATTCTTGAGCAAACTGTTAATTTTATTCGATGTTTGTCCTTGAATAATATACGATTGTATTGATTCATATATCGACTCCAGTTCATGAAATTCACTACAAAACGTATTATGGACAAGTATTGGACAGAGATTATAAATATTATGTTTATTTGCTGTTGTTCCTCTTATTCTAATTATACGATTGTAAATATTTAGTATTGTTTCAGTTATATCAGATTCTGATTTTTGTAATAAATTCAAATTCTCTTCAAACTTTTTATATAATTCATTATATTTTTCATCTAAAGCAGTATTTAATTCATTTATATCAGTTATAGTTTGTGTTTGTTTTTGTTTATCAAAAAATATTCTTGCAGTATTTAATAATTGTTTTTGCATTTCTAATGTTGCATTTTCTTTTGAGATTGTATAAACATCTTGTTCGAAACGTTGTTTTAATAACTGTTCTGTACAACGTATTCTTGGTTCAATATCTTTTTGTATATTACATTTTAAATCAGCATAATAAGTTTGTTGTGTACATTGTTCAAAGTCATCAGTTGCATCTTTGATTAATTTCTCTGTTAAATTGTGTAATTGATCAAAACCATTATCAATAAAGCTTTTCAAATATATATCCGTATTTACTCGAATATTATTTGCGCTATTATTATTTAATTGTTCTGTAGTTTGTTTTTGTTTCGTTAATAAACAATTAAGTAGTTCTGTTCCGTCTTTTAATAATAATTTTGAGTTTTTTTGTATTATTTCATTTGCTTTTGATTTTAATTCATTTGTCACATTTAATTCAGCTAATGATTTACATTCTAACAAACCTTGACCTAATTCATCAATTGTTTTCCAATTACTTGATGTTTTATTATAGAATGCATCAATATTAGTAAGACCATAATTGTCTTGAATATGTTGTTCATGAAAATCATTAAATATATTTCTTCTTAATTGATTTATGTCATAAGCAAATGCTTCATTTCTCCATCGTTGTGTTATATTTAGTTCTTTGTTAATATCTTCATTAAATGCTGATGGTAATAACACAATATTTTCTTGGTTGATTTCAAATTCATCATCGATTGATACTTTCAAGAAATTTGATGATGTTTGTAAATTATCCTTAAATCGACTTAATTGCTCAAGAAATATTGTTTTGTTCTCACGTGACATTTGATCACGTAGTACAAATAATAATTTTGGTTTGAATGGTAATGATTGTATTTGTAATTTAGCATATAATGACATACCAATGAGACCTTCGAGATTTGAACTTAATTCACCTTTATGATTAATAATAACTAAATGAGATGTTAAAATGGCCATGGTTATCATTTGATTATCAAATATTGAACCACTTTCTTCTAAGGACATTAAACCTTCAGTGTCCAGAATTATTATTGCCAGATCTTTGTGATAAACTATGCCTAAAATTATAGAAGAGAAGAGTAGATTCATTATTTCTAAAAGAAATTATAAGTGTCAACAATGATTTATTTATCATGATTGGTTAGAGATGGGAATATTGGCAATCGTCAACTTCGGATAATTTTAAATATTTTTGATAGTATTCTGAGATGTATTTGATTATTTACGCTTTAGATCATTTTTTCAATCTATTGTGTATATACCATTTTGTAATTAATCTTGCAATCTATTCTTTTCATATCCTAT